ATTTTGTAATGTATTTTAAAACAATTTTTTCGAAAGAAGGTTAAAATTAATTTAACCTGAACCTAGTACTTAACAATTGGTTAACGGATAAAGGCACATGCATGATGAGGACCGCCAAGAGCTTTCATGACAGTCAAACCATAGTAGCAATTAGATACTACTATAAGCATGCATATTTTTAAATTAAAAGCATGTACAATTATACAAGCCAATGAACGCTTTTTCATTTCAAATTCTGTTAACTTACATCCATATATATTTTTTGGGAAAATATGAATCTAATCTGAAATAAATAACTGAACACAGTTTCATTTTAATTGGTATTGAAAACTCTTTTTTTTGCTGGCAAAAACTGTTATTATTATTGTCATGTTACGACAGAGTTATATCTTGTTAATTTTCAACATGTATGTCCACTAAACATTTTTTAAACCTTTTGCTTTATAGTGGCCTTACAATCATTTTTTTCATTCAATTTTACTTTAAGGTCATTAACCTTCTGCGACAGGTACCGGCTTGATGCAAAAAATTTGAATTAAAATGTATATAGATTTAAAAATAGGCTATAGACCCTTTGAGTATGTTTGGTTTGGAAAGCCTAAATAGTTTCCAAAAGAGAAAAATGAAAACTACTTTAAACTATTAAGATACGAAATACCTTATATAAAGTTAGGCTTTAATTTTAACCGGTAAGCAAATCTTTTAACCAGATGAATCAGAATCTCAATAAAGCCATTTTTAAACTTTTCTCAATTTTAATTTGAATTTGTTGAATGGAATGACAAAGCTTAACATTAAAGACATTCATTATAAGCTTATGTTCGGAGAACATATCCAGGTTCATTACGATTTTGCTATCATCATTTGCTTAGCAAAATATTCTGATTCATCACGAAGACAAGTCATCTGCTTATCATGGGTCGATGTTTTGGTTGAAGGTAAAGCAACAGCTTTAAAGCAGCAGTAATTTTCCAAAGTCGTTTTGCAATTAGTTTTATAGCAGCGGGATTAGCGGGATTGCAGCTGAAAACTAAGATTAATAACATTTTTATTTATTTATTTTATTTTTCATTTATTTAATCAATGAAACTTTTACATAAAAAGTTTAATATTGATGAAGGAAAGCAACACCAAGCTTTCAAAAGCTAACAATTGACATTGCTGCAGCTGAACTAGCATCATAAAAATACTTATTAAAAAGTTTACTGTAGGTAATTAAGTCATACTATTTTATTCCAACAGTTAGCAACATGGTTTTTAAAAAAGTGCTGATGTTCTGGATAACCTTTTATTAAATTAAGTTTTAGACAGGTTATTTTTAACTAGTTATATGCTAAGTTTGATGAGAGTTTGAGTAAACACCCCAATGTTTTTGAATTTGGATTTAACTAATTTTCTAGTTTCTTCAACAGTGATTCTTTATGACAAGACCTGATGGTTCCATTATAGTTTTAAATAATTTATTTCTTTAATAATTTATAAAAAAATAAATTATTTAACTATTAACTAATTCTTTGGTAATATAAACTAAGCAGGTTACTTGCTAATGAACATAGCAAGTAACTTGCTTAGTTTATATTACCAAGTAAATTTATTTTATGTTTAATTAATAAAAACAAATATTTTACTTATTTGTAATTAAAATCTCATTATGATTTTTTTTGTCTTCTGTTTTCTGGAGCCCCTAACACTTTAGTGCCTGGAGCATTAAGCGTATGCCTTGTTTCCCCTCTCCCTCTTGGGGGCATGTGCACGATTTATTCTTAATTAAAACATTTTTAAAATTGTATAATAATATACATTATTCTGCTAGTAGCCACCTCATGGATAAAATAAAAAAAAAATACTATTCAAATTTTTAAAAATAACAGTCTTTTTATCTCTATATAACGTAACATGAAAGTTGTGAAATTTTATAATGTATCACTTTTACCTCAATGACCAATCTTTTACATCAATGACCAATCTTTTACCTCAATGACCAATCTTTTACCTCAATGACCAATCTTTTACCTCAATGACCAATCTTTTAGACTATTTTGTAAACCAAATGATGAACAAAGTTATATACATGTTCATTCTAATCACCCTCTTAGCATTTATAAAGCAATTTCCTTGTTCTATAGAATTAAGGCCATCAGCTAATTTATCTAATGAAAATTATTTTTCAAAACTCTGCCCATTTGTACCAGGATGCTTCAAAAAAGTCTTAAGGGCATTCTGATCCAAACTCTATCAAAAAACCATAAGCAATATAATCTGGTTTACCCCCATATAATAAAATTGTTTCTACTGAAATTATTAAACTCTTTTTGGATTTTTTAGACAAGCACTTTCCAGTTGACAATAAATAACACAAGATTTCTAATAGAAATACTCTAAAGATAAGTTACAGTTGTATGCCAAACATCAAATCAATCATTAACTCTTATAACCATTATGTAATAAATAACACCCCAGATTCCAATAAACTTTGCAATTGTATTATTAAAAGCAAGTGTACTTTAAAGCAAAAGTGCCTTGTAAAACAAAATGGAGTAATGAGCCATTCTATACCCAGGTACTCTGAGCTGTAATGAAAAAAGTATATTTTGAAGTTAGTGAAACTGTATTTAAACTTGAATATGCTAACCATACAAAGAAAGTGAAGTAAATCTGTCAATTCTTACAATCCCACAATAAAACAATGCAACCTATGTTCTTATGTCATATCTTACATCAACTTTAACTTATTAAATAAAAGGAATAGATTATCTAAATGTAGACTGAAAAACAATTTTTTTTATTCTAAATTCAATATAGGTAATTAGCTGTTTTTATATTAAGCTTATTTTCTTATTGTTTTTTGTTTTCTAATAGTGGTTGGTTGCAGCCTTGATGGAAGCAAAGATGTTTAAAAAAAAAAGGATATATATATAAATTAGAAAAATCATTATAAGAAAATTAAAACTGCTGAGTATTTTTAATTTTGTAAAAACATCAATTTATTTTATTTATTGTTTGTAATATTTCACACATCATTTATATTAAAAATAAATATTCATAATAAAGGTTTTTTTAATGTTGATATTTAATTCTTAAATTGATTGTTAAATACTATGGGTGGAATGCAAGAAGCAAACTTGAGTCAAGTTCGACTTGAACTTTACTTTGTAACCAATAGCGGCAGAGTATTTTTTGAGGAGAAAACCCATACTCTGTCACTATTAGTTGCAATGTAAAGTTCCAGTTAAGCTTGACTCAAGTTCGCTTCTTGCATTCCACCCTAATATTTACTTATTTCAAAAATGCGCTGAAAAAAATAAACTAAACTATGAGAGAGCTAAAAAAAGTAATAACCTAAAAATTGTCAATGAAAGATAAAAAAAGTTAAATTTAAAAAACTTGATTAAAATAAAAAAATCATAGTTTAAACGTTACTGTATTCTTTTTTTATACAGAATTCTTTTTTTAATGACGCAGTTGAAACTAACATTTTTAACGACATTTATCTGTAACATTAAACAAATTAAAAACATATTTTAAAATGTTAGGTAACTAATGTTACTTAACATTTTAAAAGTTAATGCTACTTAACATTTTAAAAGTTAAAAAAGGAAGAACCTTTTTTCCTTTAAAGACACTAAATCAAATCGATGTTTATAAAATATATTATTGAAAAAGTTTTAAACAATTTTAATTAGGCATAAAAAATGTGTACTTTTATAAATATTAAATTATAAACAAAATAATTGTTGTTGTCTTTTGCTATGATTCAATTAAGATAGGTACCGCATAAAGCAAACATTTGTGTAAAAATAATTTTTAAAAGTAAAATAATTTTTAAATACATATATCAAAACAACAAAAGCAAAAAAATTGAATTATTCTTCAATACTAAATCATAAGAACATGCAGTTGCGTTTTTTTTTTTTTACCATAAATAAATTAAAAAAATCTGGCGCAAACAATATACAAGAAGTTGTGAAGAAAAAAATCTACTTTGTTGAAGTAGTGTGAATGAGTGCGCTATTGTAGATACTACTTCAAGCATTAGTTAACGAAAGAATGATGTATAACAAACAAGTAACTTTTTATGAGCAAGGACTTCAGCAATTTTCAAATTTGCATTTGTACGGCATAAAGTAAACATTTGTGTAAAATAGAACATGATTATGCGCACTCTAGATATCGCTCTCAGGTTATCTAGAGTGCGCGTAACCATGCTTGATGACAACATATTATAATTTTACAAGTGCAATATAACAGACTTGGTGATTTTCTTTATCACAAGCCCTATATATATATATATATATATATATATATATATATATATATATATATATATATATATATATATATATATATATATATATATATATATATATATATATATATATATATATATATAAATCAAACTATTTTTTCTGAAGAAAAAATAAATTTATTTCTTTCATTCTTTTTTTCTTTATATATATAAAGCGAAGCATAACATTATAAAAAACTTTCTTGTTCCTTTTATTCAATTTCATAAAAAAGAAAAAATAATTTCTGATAATCATTTCAATAGTTATATCTTAATAGTTTAAAAATTTTCTGCACCAAAAAAAATGGTCTGCTCACAAACAATATTTACTTACTCCATATACAACCAGTAATTATCTACTTATATATTTACTCTGCAATCTTCTTTATAACTAAAAGTCAAAATAAAGTGTTGACCAAGTTTTAAAAAAATAATCTGCACAGATATTTATAAAGAGGTGTTGAGACATTTTAAACTTAGTATGAACTAAAAATGCATCCCTGTATTATTAGAAGAACTTCCAAGTGCAGTAGAACTTATTCTAAATGTGATAGGAGAGTTAGAGAAAAATAAATTATTAGAAATAGTTTTAGAAAGATATTTGAGACAAGTATAGCTTTAAAAAATTGATTTAAAATAAGAAAAAATTAAAAAGCACATCATTTAAAAAGTGAGCATAAATACAAGGTATAACCTGGCTGCTATTAAAGAATACCTGAATAAGGAGTCTTTCGGTAAAATTGTTTAGGAAACAATTCAGTCCATGTTGAACATCCCATAAATGATATATTTTTATTATAACGTAAAGCATGGTCCAGAATATTATCTTCTGTAATCTCATAGCTATCAAAATTGGAACCAGCATCCACAAATGTAGGAAGACTGCCTTAAAAAAATAGTTAATTAAAAAAAATATGTTAAAAAACTCTATCTAATATATGTTAATTTAATATATGTTTTATACATTATAAAATGTAAATATTCCAAGGAAATAATGAAAGAACTTATACTATTTTTATTTAACAAAAGTAAAAAAATAAAATAATATATATATATATATATATATATATATATATATATATATATATATATATATATATATATATATGTATATATATATATATATGTATATATATACATATCATGGGGGAGAAGCGATTTTTTAGCGAAAGATAGCGAAAGCAAGTATATAAAGACCATCGGAAAACCAAATATAGACTATTGATGATATGCTTAGGTTTTGTATCATCGATATAAACCACTTTTTTAAAACTATCAAATAAACAGAAACAAATTAACAAAAACAAAATAAAAAATTTGATAAAGGCAAAACTGTTCCAGAGGCCATAAGTTATATATGTATTTCAAATTTTGAAATTAGTTTTAAAAAACAAGTAAGCATCAATCTTGAGAATGTTTTACTGTCAAAAGCAGCAAAAACCTGATATTGTGGTTGCTCCAAATCTAAATGATTTTATTACATGTAAACAACAGGTAGGCATGGATACAGAGATAGATAATACTACAAATGATATCCAAGTAAAGTTTATGCACACTCATAGTCCAAGTTAAAACTTTTTTTCCCCACCGAGAAATAATGTCTGTTGAGTACCATTGCCAAACTTAACCATTGTAACCAATATATATTCCAAGTTTCCAGGAAAACTGTTTGAATAATCCAAATACACCCAGGAAAATGGATAGAATAGAGAGATGACGAGTACCCGACTGTGATTGGGTACTCGTCATCTCTCAAGAACATGACAAATATATACAGTTAAACTCTTGTAATCCGAATTCCTATAATTATATTTAGAATTGAAATCCTTTAATTTAAAAACTCTTGTAATTCAAACAAAATTACATGATTTCAACTGTAACATTAAAGTAAATGATTTTATTACTATAATTAATAAATTTTACATTTTTAGTTTTTAAAAGTTTTTTTTATTACTTTTGTTTCTTGAGTTTGTAATATGTTCTTATTTTTTTTATAGTCTTTACTTGTCTGCTAGTTTACTTTTTATAGCTGATAAATTTGATAAAAATGCAACTCATGTTTTATAAGCAATAAATTCAAGTACATTTAACAATAATTTTTATTTCTGATTTTAAAAAAATAACTCTCCAGTTTATTGCAATAACTCTAACAAAACTATTTAAGACAACTTCTGAAAAAAAAATATATATCTGCATTTATATACTTTAATATTTGCCAGTGAAAATATAAACATTTAGATTTTAGGATCAGATTTTATAAAACTAAAATGGAAAACCCAACAGCAAGTCAACAACAATTAAAGGAATAATTTGATAAGACCAAAACTGCAAGTTGCATAACTGAGAAATTTTTTATCCACTTTTTTTTCTTTCAATTTTTCAAAACTCACCTTTAATAAATCAAGATAAAAAAAATAGATCTTTTTGTAATTAAGTGGCAATTATGAAAAATATGTTTTTCTTGGGAGGGCAAAATTGTAAATAAACATTTCGAGAATACTTATCATATTTTTTATCGTTTATGTAAAATCAACAGTTAATTAAAAAATATGTTGCGTTCTTAAACATGCCACTTTAAAATTATGAAAATTTTTAAAATTTACTTGTCAAGCAGCTTGTTAGGTTTTTAGCTGTTTTTACCATGTCTACTTTGTGCTAAGTTTTAATTTTCAAAAATCCTTTCAAAAAATCAATCACTTAGCTTAATTTTTTCTTATCAGTCAATTTAATTCCTTTTTTCAAAAACATTTATGCTTTTAGATTAATATAATCTTTTCAGTTGTTGTTGTTGACAAAAAGTTGTATTTTTTAAAATATTTTGTCATTTTTTCTGTATTTTTAGAAGATTTTACAACCAAATTTGGAAAAAAAAAACTATTTTTTTACATATTTTATTTGATATAAATTTGTTTTGAATAATAATTACGTAAAGTGTAAACAGTAAGAAAATAGTATTTAAAATAAAAAACAATGTAAATTTCTTATAAGCATAGGTTCTGTTATATATAAAAAAAAAAAATAATAATAATAATAAATATAAAATATAAAGGGTGAGATCAAACAAAGATATTTAATTAAGACAGTTCAAAAAAGGTTTTGCTAAAAGATGTTTGAGACTATTTATGCATAAGAGTATTTTGATGATATGCATGTTCGTACCATTAAAAAATGTCTATGTTGGCGTATAATAAGATCATTGCTTACTAGCCAAAAATTCTATCCAACAGAGATAGATTAATATTTTTGTTATATTTGATGCAGGTAATCTGCTAAAAATTAATTGCGTTTTATTCTAATTTAAAAGCGTTATTATAAATGAAAAAGTGTTATTATAAATGAAAAAAAAAAATTTTAAAAACAAAAATTTTAATTTTAAAGACTATTTAGAAACTAGTAATTAATAATTAATAAGCGTTTTATAATAGCATTTATAATATAGCGTTTGATATAGCAGCATATAAATGCAGTATATTATTTATGATTGGTAATGGCTGTGTTGTTTTTAAAATATGGAAGTATGTAATATGCTCTAAATAAATACATACATTAGACTGGTAACATAACAATTATTGAAAAAGAAAAAAAAACCTACTTAAGAGTTATATAAAAATAACCAAAGTTAAATTATACAAAATAATATTTTTAGCAATAAGAAAATAAATAAATAAATAAATAAAAAACTTATTGCAAATACACTCGCTTAATCAAACAATTTAACAAAAAAGTTCAAAAATCTTCTTTTAGATAAATTGGATTTTATTTCTGTTTTGGTAATGAAATTTTAGTTATAATTTATTAAAACCTTTAGTTATATAAAAAATAACAAAATCTGATACTATTTTCTGTAAAAAATGGATGTTCTCACATTATTACTTTCTATCACAATTCCTTAATAGACAAAACCAAATTTAGATTAATCAAGGATTGTATAGCTATACTACACAGCTATGCATTAAAGTTTAATCAAGGTATTAATATCAATCAATCTTTTTTCTGTGTGAATTGTGTGTGTGTGTTGGTGTGTGTGTTGGTGTGTGTGTGTGTGTGTGTGTGTGTGTGTGTGTGTGTGTGTGTGTGTGTGTGTGTGTGTGTGTGTGTGTGTGTGTGTGTGTGTGTGTGTGCGGTCGCACACCTTAGATGACCACACATGTATTAATTTGTTTTGAGAAGTTGGCCACAACTCCTTACATGTTTTTAAGTTAGTGTGTTTAAAAAATGTGTTGAATAAACGAATGTAAAAAAAAATAAACAGATGATTAACTGGATAAAGAAATAAAAACTAAAAAAAAAAATACTAAACTAAACTAAAAAATAAAAATCTTAAAGAATGATAAAATGAATAAAAAATAGACCAGAAAAAAAAAAGCATAAAATCAATGGTTTTTTTTTTTAAAATTTGTTTTTAAAAAAAGTGTTTCACTATAGAGAATTTAGAAAAAATCAAAGTTTCAAAGTTTATTTAATCCAAGCTTAATTATTTGAAACTTATTTATTTAAAAATTTGAAACTGATACTTTCTAATGTCTACAAAGCAAATAAAATACTATCATCTCTAATCTGATGCCGATATACAGTCGCACATCACAAATGACACAATTAATCAACCTCTGCAGTACATCAATGTGACGATATAAGAAAATTATTAGCTTTAAACTATTAATTAAAATGTTTTTAAACTAATTACTAATTTGGACTACTGATTAAGATGCTTCTAAATTAAAAAATATATTAGGGGATTTCCAAAAAATCACGCACGGAAACTCGTATATGTTTTGTCTATTATTTTCATAATAATAAAACTGACGATCTCCAATTTGCACTTATTTAAATCCAACTTGAAAAAAAATATTTTGTAAACAAAAAATGTAATATATTGTGTTAACAAAGAATAAATTAAGTTTGAAGCGGAATCACACACAGAACAGAAACTCAAATTTTAGTTACTAGATAAATAAACTTTAATTCCTCTGAAAATATAAGTTTCAGCGTTATATATATCTTTTTAAATGTTTTAAACATTAGTAAAGCTTTCCAGAAAGTTACAGGATTGCATTATGTTTCATAGAGTTACAGCAATCGTTTAAATGCAGTTCATAAATGATCATGAACTGATATCACACACAGAAGTTGCAAATTTGTTAGTTTCATGTAGATATTTTTAAGAAAATAAATTGCTTATGAGTATTTTAAATGAAATATTATACTTCTACGACTCATATTTAATATATTTTTAATGAGAAATGGCAGTCATCAGTTATTTCTAGCTAAAGTATAGCGTTTTGAATATTGTTGTTTATTTTCAAACTGTAGCTATATTATTACGCAAAAAAAATAAATTGATAAAAATATATATATTTAACTTGTTCAGGTAGCCTAAAATATGAAAAAATACTTTTGCTATAAATTTTTTTTAAGAAAATCATAATTGTATGCATATTGCCTAAAGTCCCAGCTTTTAATTGCTAAAACAAAGAAAATTGAAAAATCACGCAACTGCCCATTAGTTTTAAGCTTTTATTTTTTCTGGTTTATTTATTTTATAATTTATTAAAAGTTTATTTCTTATTTCAGTATATGGTTTGTTTATTTTTTAATTTTCTCTTTAAATTAGGTTAGTTTTTTCACCGCATTTTTTAAAAATTATTAATATTTGAAAAAAACCATGTTAATATATAACAAAAAGCCAAGTTGTCAAAAAAAAAAACTTTTGTATGCGTTGTCATATAAGGTGTGCAACGCCAGGCGTCTCCTGAGAAGCCGAAGCCTCTATATATATATATATATATATATATATATATATATATATATATATATATATATATATATATATATATATATATATATACAATTCTTTTAACATTTAAGCAACTTTTATAAGTTGCTTAATCCATTTTTTGTTTTTATTTATATTTATTTACTTTCATTTTATTGACGTAAATGTACATACATTCATTAACTTAAATAGGTAGAACATGCTGTTCCATTGTAAAGTTGGTGAATTTTAATTGTATGTGTTAGATGACGCTTGTTATTAATTTATATTAAATTACTGTTTAATGATTATTTAATGACTATTGTAATTAAAAGTATTGTCGTGGGAACTTTGACTTTGTACATTTGTATAAGATTTTGTTTAAAAAAATGATGACTGAAATAATTCTCAAAAAGTTGTTTTAAACATATAAACATCACAATGCATGGGTTGTACGGAAGACCAGAGTTAGTCAGAACATTGGATTAGCAACACAAAGTTAGTCAGATCGGTAAAGTTAGTCAGAATGCAAGAATAGTTGAATCATTAAACTTTTGTACCAATTAATGGGTAGTTTATAAATACAAACAAGTTACATTTGAACTAAAATACATACTATTTTGCTGTGGGATAAAATAATTTGTGAAAAATTAAGTTTTTGCTTTAGAGAATTATACTCATGAAAGTAACTTTTTGTGATTTTTGTATTATTAACTGTAATATTATTTTATAAAAGATAAAAAAAATAGTTTGATAACATCTAAGTAGTATATTTTGTAGGCTTTATTTTAACAGAGCTTTGTGCATAAGATGCATTAACTAATTTTTTTTTTTTTTAATGTTAATTCACCTCTCCAAGGCCTAGAAGCAAATACAGTTGAGGCTGCTACTATAATTGTGGTTACAACTCTCTCTCAACTCTATAACTCCTAAACACAAACCTTGCCAGACAAAGCTGCTGTGTGGAGAAACAAGTTTAGCACATTACTATCAGCAATGTAGTGGGGATTGAAATCAGAACTTCTCGCTTATGAGGCAAGCGCTTTACCACTACACCACTACTGCATTAGTAGTAGTAGTGTAGTGGTAGTGCGTGGTGTTTATGAATGCACTTGTTAAATTAAACTGGTTAAACTGGTTTGTTAAAATATTGTGAGTTTTATTTTAAAAAGATTTAATTTTATCACAATAATTTTGGCTTTTGGCTTTAGACAACACAGATTAGTTGGATGAAAGTCAAAGTTATTAAAAAAAGACATGATTTGTTTGTTTATATATGTGTGCGTGTGTGTATGTGTGTGTGAGAGAGAGAGAATAAAAGTAAAATTTTAATTAAAATTATTTAAAAAAATTTTAAATTAACTACAATAACATGATGTATAACCTGTTGTTAACCCTTTGATTCTTTGCATTGTTGTTGTTGGTGGATCAGCCTCAAATTTATACAATTTACCATTTGAAGGCTCTCTATGCATTAATGAATGTAACTTTTTCATTTTATTTTGATAGGGCAATGCAGAAGTCAAATTAATCTCTTCTCTATACTGCATAAAATCATAACGCAGCCCGTCAATTACAATGAGTATAGCTTTGTGGAATTTTGGAAAAATTAACCTGTTGCATGTATTTTTAGCAGATATGCTTTCCCTTTGGAAAACAACATTTGTTGTGATTCCGCTCCATAAATTGTTTATATACCAGTTCTCTTCCTCGCATGCGCTTACATTACTCATAACTATGCGGTTTAATAAAAAACCTTTTGTAAATAGTAGCAAAGCACAGGTGTACATAAGAAATAGCCATAACATCAAAAAAAATATGTGAAAACCTAAGCCCATCTTGTTTTTAATCTAAATTATTATCGAATGAATTATAATTAAAAATAATTATGACAAATAATAATAAAAACTAAATAACTTACAAAAAATAGAAATTTAAAAAATCTAAAACATGCAACGATAAAAATATGAAAAATATAAAATAACTTAAAAATATTCACATATTCAAGACTTCAATTAAAACTAGTTGACAAATTTATAACAATACTAATGACAAAAAATCATTTTTTAATGTTTCAAATACAAAAAATAAGATACAATCGAAACATCATCGACAAGAAAAAAGGTTCAGCCATATTTATAGTAACAAAACATAATTTCCAGACAATATAGTTACAATAGGTACAAATATAAACTGTATATACAAAACTGTATATACAAACAGTTCAAAAAAAAATGTAACTAATTATAGCATAAAACAATTATATTACTTCAAAATTTAAAATAATAAAAATAATAAAAATAATAATAATAATAATAATAATAATAATAATAATAATAATAATAATAATAATAGGGAAGCAAGGGTAGTCAAGCAATTTTTACTAAATCTAATGGATCTCATGAATGGTATGTCAGATTTACATAATTTTTTTACTATTAGAAAAATAATTTAACCAGCTTAAAATTTTTCAAGAAATAAGTTTATTTTTAGACCCATCTGATGTAACCTGACCCAATGGTGTAAATAGAGCAACAGTGTGGGGGAAGTTGAACAATCAACGAATGACTGAGTATGCAAAATTCTTGTTTATTAAAGTTGTTCCTTTGTGTTCAATAGATCAGTTTTAATTATTTATTTCAAAGCTGATCAACTTACCCCAACTAGACAAAATAACACATTTCAAGATATCAAAGAGAACAGTAAGATATCTGAAAAAACAACTAAACCATGATAGGAAATAGAGGGCTTTGTAAGTTTTTCTTAGAAGAGGTTTTGTATTAGTAAAATGATTTAAAGATAGATGAATATGCCTTATTTTCAAATTAAAATATTAAATGTCAAAATATGTCTATGGTATTCTTAAAATTTAAACTAATTTGAGAAAACAATTCGGTTTTACTTCAAAAATTCTGCCTAATTTTTTGAAAAAAGATTAATGAAAACTTAAACAGATCGTTAATGTTGTAAAATATTGTATGTTTTTCGGACAAGTGTTTATAATTTGATTAGAAAACAAGTAAAAGATTTACATCACACACACATTTCATAGATAAAATCCCATTTTACAAAACATTTAATACTAATTATTTTTATAGAATATTATAGTCAAAAAATTATTATTTTTAATAGATTTATATTGTTTAGCTGCATTTACTTAAGCATAATATAATTACTTATACAAATAAAAAACAACATAAACAAAGACTGTTCCATATCTGTTTCAAAAATACGTTTTATTTACTTATGAGCCGAATCGATTACCTGGACTTGCTTAATGATATCTGCACTTGCAAAGCTATACAGGAGTAAAGACCAATATTAAGACCACAGGGGTAGTAGGACAGAATGAGAAAGGCTTAGATTTTTCATGGAAATTTTCTTTTCTTATAAAATATGACCGGAAATAAAAAATAATATTCTGAAATTTATAAAACAGGTTAGATTTTTATAACTTAGACAAAAAGTAACGTCTACGTTCCCGGATTCCGTCGGAATGTGTACACCCACTAATTTTTGTTGGAGGCGGGCCTTTTTAATAATAAGAAAATTCTTTTGCGATTATTTCTAGGACAAATGTAATATTGACTGATTTTTAGGAATAAGCGAAATCCTAAAATTTAAATAAGTTATAAATTCCCAATTTTTTTTATAAGTTAAAAACAGTTCATCCTTCGGGTCGGAGCTACGTCACAAATATCGGAAAATAAGTCTACCATTATGGATTAGGGAAAACAAATAATTTTATCGAGTCGGGAATTTTGAGGAATTATTCATATACATGAATAATCCTCAAAGTTGCTGTGTTTTATTGTTTCAACTAATAATATTTTACAGAGTTAAATTTTTTAGATACTTCCATATGAAGGTATTAGAAGTTAAAGGTAATAAATCGTGCGCATGTTGACAAATATGGAGTAGTTTAACTAATATCTTCATATGGAACATACTTCTTTAGTATGTAAAATTATAACTCTGTAAATTGTTATTCTCATTGTTATTATTGTTATTATTATTATTATTATTATACAGAAATAATTATACTTTGTGATAATTTTGATTTGATAATTACTAGTTATCAAATCAAAATTATAGTCTCCCAAAATAATCATTATGTCTGTTCACAACAATATTTTCTGGTGGGTTTTAGTTTTAGTAATTTATCAAAATAGTAAATAAGGAATTTTTGTAATAATTTTTTTTTTTTTTTAATTATTCAAAAAATTCGTTAAGTAAAAATAACAGTAGTATAAAGTAAATGGACAAAAACAAATTTAAAAAACAAACATCTTCTCTTAAAAATACGGGCTTGACAGATATAAAATAATGCTAAAATAGTTACTAAACAAGTTAGGTTTAGACAACGTAGTTTAATGATTTAAATTTTATACTTTTTATAATTTAAATTTTATAATTTTATACACTAGACATTTGAACTCTAATACACTCCACAATTATACAACATAGTTTAATGATTGTTAAGTGTATATTTTTTTCACTACACATACTTTATAGTTTTTTGGTCACTAAATAAAAAAATAAAGAAAACAACAGATAAAATCTACATAAAAGTTATATAAAAAATATATGAACTATTAAATATTGCTGTTAATAATAACAACAATATGTAACAGTTATATAACAGTATATCATAATAATATATTATTATGATATACTGTATTTAATATTCTTTTATTTGCTTTACTAAATTAAAGTTGTAATTATATTAAAACTATTTAAATACAAGGATTTTATGTAAAATTGTATAAAATTAGCAATTCCTTGATAATTTTAATTTATTTAGATTATAGTAAATTTTCTTTTGAAATGTTGGTTTTTGTTTTTTATTTTAATTTTTTTTTTTTATAAATTAAAATCAATATATCACAAGAATTAATATTAAAATTGCACCAAATAATAATTTTTTCACCTAATAATTTTTAGCTTTAACAATAACGATGGAATTATAAAATGATTTCAATGCAAAAAAATAAGTCGGAAGGTGAACCAACAGATTTTTTATGCTTCTAAAACTCATTAACTCCTCGAAACAACATTACACCTCTTAACTGCACAATCTTTAATATCATCACTAACTCCAGTTACACAGTTAGAAAGAAAAGGTTTTTGTAAGGAAATGGATAGTTTAAAAATAATATGTGAAAGACTAAAATTAGAATTTGGAGATGAGAACATATGTGCTCTATTTACAGTTTAGATACTGAAAAAAATTTGTTAGTAATGATGGATTATTTAAGTGAAGATGGAAAAATTATTGTTACAAGTTAGCCTTAAATGATCAAATATATTGTTGACTTTGATAAAATTAAACTAAAACCTACTTTAAAATGCTTGCTTATATATGTAACATCAGTAAGAGTTAGCAATAAGCTATTTGGAAGTGGGTTGTTATTATGTATTTTAAACTAAAGTTACCGATAAAAATGCAAGTCAGAACTGATATTTATAAATCATTAACACCTGTTTTCAAGACAAAGTTTCTTACACTAACATGCTTTGAAATCTTTATTGAATCTCATTAACAAGAGCAAAATGTTACAGTCAGTACAAGAAATATATTACAGCATATAGCCAAAAGTAATACTAAAAAAATCACATGTTAAAAATTTATTGGCTGGCCACTTATAGCGATTGCCGCTTTAGGTCCACTTAGTAACTGTTGAGCAAAATCCCATCAACAGTGAAACTATAAAGGTCCACTGCAAATTTACTACCTAAAACTTATTAGAAAGTTTTAAGATTTTAAAGTAAATCATTATGGTTATATTTTTGGAATAGTTACAGATAGGCTAGTAAGGAAAAAACAAGAAGATTCTATCAAATAGCTAATCATCTATGTCTTTTTCATGGAATTCATTTTTAATTTTATCATTGTAGGCTTAGTGTTTCAATTGTAGATGCATATTTTGAACCATAAAAAGATGTAAACAAAAAACTTGCTATAATTGGATACTTTTAAAAAAATAAGTCTTTTAAAAAACATTTTACAATTAAAGTTTTGTTTTATTTCATTTGTTACATTTTTATATATCTTATGTCTACATTTTTATGTCTTAAAACATTTTTATTTTAATCAGTTTATAAAATTTTTTATCAGTTTAAGAAAAATACATGAATTTTAAATAGTAACAAAATATACAAACGGGAATAATAAAAGTCGTTTATAGGATGTTTGCTTTTTGTACTTTCAATTTTTATTTTTTGTTTTGGGTTTAAAGTAGTTTATTTTTTTAATTTTATTTGAAATATTTTTTCATAATAAACTTAAAAAATAAAATTAACGGTTTTTTTTACAGGGTAAAATGTAATGTAACTTATAAATAAAACAGAATGTAACTTATAAATAAAACAGAAAATCATAAAACTTATTTAAAATAAATACTTTTGAATGATTAGCATTTGTAAATTAATTTGAATAAGTTTAAATTTGCAAAATTAGCTAAACAATCTTGTAAGTTAGCTGTTTTTACGGTGCTTTAGCAGTTTGTTTTCCCTAATCCATAATGGTAGCTATAAAAATCCGATTTGTCACGTGACCTCCGACTCCAAGAATGTGCAACATACCTGTCAACTGGACACTTGGACGTGGACCTATGACGTAGATCCGCGTTGGTTGGTAACTTATTTATTTATTTTTTAATTTATATTTTGTTCCTTTATATTAAAGATTCGTAATACATTTTTGTTTTACATTAAAATTGCATTAATACGTAAAAAATCGTAATTACATTTTTGTTCCTTAATATTAAAAATTCGTAATTAAGATTCATATTCTGGTTTTTGTACTTCTATGGCTTTTCGCAATAAATATTTGTACTCTGGTTTCTGTTTGTAAAGAATTAAAAGGTTTTGTTTATAAAGATTATAAAGGTTAAAAAAATAGCAGGACTTTTTTCATTTTGAAATTATTCATAAGACTTAGAACATTATGTATACTTAGTTCAAACAATGTTATAAAGACATTTGTTCAAAAAGAAGTTTTGAGTGTTATGTTTTATTTTAAAAAATAATCACACGTATAGCATGCTTCTGTTTACAATAGTAAATTGTTCTAGTTTAATAGTTATTACCCAATGCTTTATTACCGTAGTTTAGGTAACTTTGAACAAAACTATAATAGATTTGTTTGAGTTGTAGTTTTTTTTAAAAAGTAAGGTAATTGGTGTATTAATATACCAATCACGTTACTTTTTTGAAAAAAACCACAACTCAAACAAATCTATTATTCTATCCAAGAGCATAGGAATAGTTATTCCTATGCTCTTGGATATTTTACTACCTAAATAAGCTATATGTGCAAGTATCCCTACTGTGTTACAAGTAGGGATACTTGTAACACAGTACTTTTACTTTGTAACAGTATCCCTACTTATTTCTCTGTTTTCAATAAACAATTTATGGAAAAAAAGATTGAACTTCTTTTTTTTTAAAAGGAAGGATGAAATAAATAAAACTTTGTTTTACTTGAGTTAATGGAGAGTTTGTTCACTTTAAACTATTCTGATTTTTTTTTGTTTTGTTTTGTTTTGTTTTTGTTTTGTTCATTGTTCATTTCTACGCACAGCTCGCACTGTTTTCCAGAAAAAAGTTGCTATCGTTAGCAAAAATTATATTTTGCCATACAGAGATTGTTAACATAGGTTAAGAAAAGCAAAGGCTCAAGTATTGAACCTTGAGTACACTACACTCTGTTAAAGACGGATTAGAGAGTTTATTGTCTCCGTAATATACATATTGAACTCTTTTATTTAAACAACTTTCGATCCACTTGTTGGATCTACCCCTTACGCCATACATATTAAAATTTGATAATAATATTTTATGGTCGTCTGCATCTTTTGAGAGATCTACAAAAACATCTAATGTAACTTCTCTGTTTGTAAAGGAGTTTTTTATTTCTTCAACCAAGTGAAGTGCTTGGAATAAATAATATTGTTTTCTTTAAAAAAAGTATATAACCTATTGTGCATAATTCTCTCAAGTACCTTGGAGAATGTTGAAATATTGAAATTGGTCTAAAATTACCTGTTTCACTTGATTCTCTTAAATTTAAGTTAATGTTTTATTTTAGCAGTTTTTAGTTTTTCAGGAAATATGTCTTACTGTTTAAAAATTTTGAATAAAGGATTTTTAAGCTCATAGTAGCAGTTAATTACTATGTTGCTTTTGACATCATCAATTCCAGTTGCCTTGATTCTTTTTTGGCTTATAACGTTTTTTAGACTTATAACGTAGATTCTACGTAGTAAGTCACCAACCATAAAAACAATTTAAAATTGAACTGTTATATGAAACTCATAATAATGTCTTATATATATATATATATATATATATATATATATATATATATATATATATATATATATATATATATATATATATATATATATATATATATATATATATTTATACATATATATATATATATATATATATATATATATATATATATATATATATTTATACATATATATATATATATATGTATAAATATACATATATATATATATATATATATATATATATATATATATATATATATATATATATATATATATATATATATATATATATCAGTGGCGGATTAAACAAAAACAAAAATAGCCCCGGGCCCGGGGCTATTTTAGTTTTTGAAAACCTATATATATATATATATATATATATATATATATATATATATATATATATATATATATATATATATATATATATATATATATATATATATATATATATATATATATATAGGGGTGGCACTTTTCGTTTTTGAAGACCTATATATATATATATATATATATATATATATATATATATATATATATATATATATATATATATATATATATATATATATATATATTTATATATATATATATATTTATATATATATATATATATATATATATATATATATATATATATATATATATATATATATATATATATATATATATATATATATATATATATAATCAGTGTAAGGTTGTTTGTTTATGCACAATAAGAATACAATAAGAAAGATAAGTATTTTTCTTATTGTAACATCTCTTGCAAATAATGTTACAAAAGAAATATAATTGCGCATAAACAAAGAACATATATTTTTAATAATGCATTATTAAAAGGTTTTGTTCAATATAACAAACTATAATTCAATATAAATATATTAAACTTAAGATTTTGAAATCTTAAGTTTAATATATTTAGTATAAGGTTCTTAGACATTTTTTATATAAAATCACATCTAGGAAATTTGTCGTTGATTTTTTTAAATTATTATTCTATTGATTAAAAAAGTTTAAAAATTTTTTTTTTCTACATTCTATTATATAGCCCACTTCTTATATACCACAAACTTATCTCATTTATTTTAATCAAAAAGTTAGATAAAACGAGTTGTTTAGAATAAATGATGCGATGGGACAGGAAGATGGAATTTCATATTCAGGTAAAAGATAAATTTTTCAAATAATATATTTTACAATATTGTATCGCATATTGCATATTTTAAACATAGAAAAAACACTATAGTGTTTTTTTTATGTTTAAAATTTACATTTCAGATTAAATATAAATAGTTTAAAATAAAAATTAGTTTTTTATCTTTTTAATTTATTTGCCCTTTGTTAAATTTTTTTTTTTTTTTTTTTTTTTTTTACAACAATTATTATATATTTCAAAAACAAATATTTACATGACTCCAGTTTATATTAATGTCCACCACACATATTTGCAATATCTAAAGAGCGTTAACAATGCTGTTTCACGCTTGGCGTATTACAGTGGGTTAGGAAAGTTAAGAGAAAAACAAAAAAAATAAAAAATAAAAAGTAAAAAATCGTGGTTTATAATATAAAGTGCTGGCTACTAACCCATGCATTTAAAAAATATACGCAAGTCCGTCGCACCACAGGGCTACTAGGGACTTGCTTGTGGTTATCCTTGAAAAAATATATTAATGTATCATAATAACACTATGTTGTTGTAAGGAAACTCGCAGAAGACTAAGAGAAGTCTTTTCATCGAGAACCTTTAAAATGCAAAATGAACAAAAATTTTAAAGAGTAATTTCACAAAATACACATTAACTTTTGAGGTCCACTGTTCAGTAATATTTTACTATGCATAGTTGCTACTATATTTATTATTATTATTATTTTTTTTTTATTTATTTTAAAATTTAAATTGTTCTTGTTACATTTATTATATTCATTTTCTTTTACATTTAATACATATCGATAAAATTGGTTTTGTTAATTATGAGATCTTTTAATTTTTTTTTAAGGATAATAAGATTATCTAATTTAGTAAGTTCTATATTTTGAGATATTATTTTGTTGTATAAGTAGGGGCCACGGTATGCAATTGAAAATCTTGAAAATTTTGTTTTTTTAATGGGCAGGGTGAAATTTCCTGTTCCTCTTGTGCTATATCTGTTGGCGTAGGTTTGAAAAAAGTTATTAGTAAAATGAGATAGGACAAGCCCGAGCATATATTTGAGCATAAATAAATTATTTTGGTAGATTTTAATTTGATAGACATTTAACGCATTCAAGTTTTTAAGTAAAGGATCGGCATGAGTGAATTTATTTTTATTATAAATCAATCTTGATGCGTGTTTCTGGTGTACATATAGAGAATTTAGTTTAGATTTATTTGTACTTCCCCAGGCAATATTAGCATATGTTAAATAACTTTGTATATAAGAAAAGTAAAGACTTTTAAGATTTTTCTGGGAAAGTAAAGGTTTGACTTTCTCAATTTTTGTACAAGATTATGTGTCGGCATGGGTGCTTTAAAATCCAAATCAATGACCAGGGTCGGAAGTTTGTAAATGAAGTATGTAAACAACTACACGAACTAACTGGAGTAGAGCAGAGAGTTACGTCTGCTTATCACCCTCAGGCAAATGGATTGGTAGAACGTCAAAACCGAACAATAAAGAACTCTTTGGTAAAGGTTTTGGAAGGTAATCCTAAAATGTGGCTGCAAATTATCGAGGGTATTCTTTTTGCTCATTGCGTTAGTCAACATTCTTCTACTAACTACTCTCCATTCATGCTGATGTATAATCGCGAACCAATTTTGCCAATTGATGTGAAGCATAGCCTCGTCAAAGACGAAAGCAATAAACAAGAACACCGAGAAGAAAATATAGACGTAGAACAACCATTCGATTTCAACTTTTTTGATGCCTTCGTTTCATTAACAAGTAAAGTCAGAGCAACAATTATGTCTGAAGCCAGCGAAAATATAAAAGTTGCACAGAAAAAGCAAAAACGAGATTATGATGAAAGACCAGTAGCGTAGCGAAGGGCCCGCAGGGCCCGCAGCCGCGGGGAGGCCCAGAGTTATTAGGGGCCCAACCCTTACGGAAATATTCCATAGAAAACCCATGGAATTCCATGAGTAAACCATGGTTTTCCCATGGAAAACGGGAATTCCATGGAATTTCCATGAGTAAATTTCATGAAAATTGAAATCCCATGGGTGAACCATGTTTTTTTTTCAGCGCCATGGTTGTTACAAATGCGCTTTTAAAGATGGCGTCATAGCTCGTAGAGTTATGATTATTTTTAACTTTAGAAAACAATACTTACTGCATTCTTCTGTTTTTCTGTGTTTAATAAGACTATGTATTATATGTTTTTTATAATGCATTACATTTATATGATTTAAACTAAACATACAGACATAAACAACTAGATATAATTATCATATTATAATGCATTATAAAATGGATTATTTTTAATTATATTTAATTATATATCATTTATGCATATACTTATTTTAACTGTTTCCAGTAGCTTTGCTTACTTTGCATAACTTGCAATAGTATAGCAAGTATGTCAAGTAAACCAGTTTGAGTTTTAATGCCTACTTGGAAAATTATTTGCCAAATAATTATTATTTGGTTTACAACAAATAAATGTTTAGTTTTAATCTACATTAAATAACTAGTGTATTAATGTACATAGTGTAATTTAATGTACATTCAAACTAGTATAATTATTATTATAAAACTTATCGAACATATTAAAGAAACTTATCTAAAATATTAATATACAAGCAGTATATTAGATAAGATTAGATAACTAAGATAATAAGATTAGATAACTAATGTGCAAAAAATAACTAGTATGATCTTTTTTATTTTTTTTTTATAATAGCCTTAGATTACATAAAAATGCTTGAAGTTTATTGTATCGTAAATGTTCATTAAGTATTAAAAAACATTTTTTTATGATAAATGTTCTATTCAATTTTAGTTCTGTTAAGTTGTTTTTGTCTTTTTGTTGTTGTTTTTTCTATAGAATTATTAGAATATGTAAATAATGTAATATAAATGTTTATAAATTCTTTTATATTTACTTTATTATTTTATTTAAATTACTACATTATAAGCCAACAGGTTTGACTGGCAATATAAATAATGTTATTCATCGTTTATATTGTTTATAACATCGTCAGTTTTTATATGCATTTAATATTTTTAAAAATAGTTCAAAAGCTGTCAAAATAAAATGGTGAATTGAGTTTAAACCAGAAAAGATATAAACGTAATCTTTGGGATTCAACTTGTAAGGATGTTCCAAGAACCACTTAGTTGGAGAAGGAAAACTGTGGTAATATTTTATAAGTATCAGTAAGGAAATTTACTTAATGCACAAGATTTTACTTCATAGTTAAATATAAGCATATAAAAGCAATGTTTATAAATAATACACTATTATTTATTATAATACAATTATTTTTATTTGTTTATATTTAACTGATGTAAAGTGCTCGTCTTTAGTTAAAATAAATTAATTTATGCACACACTTTGATATTTACTATGCTTTTACATTACTATACTTTATAAATTACATATTTTTTATGTTTTAAATAGTGAAGTAAAAATATAATAAATTTTTGAATTTAATGGTATGTGCGTAAGTTCTTTTATTTTAACTTTATCATTTTATTTAAATTACTGCATTATAAGCAGGTAAGTTTGACTGACAATATAAATAATGTTGTACATCATGCAGACAGCTCAGACAAAGAAGTAAGTTTTTACTTAAAATTACAATTTATAAATGATACTATATTTGTTGCTGCCTTATTCTATATAAATGTTACTAACATGCAGGTAAAATTTATATATGTGTATAAATATTTTCATTTTAACCTTATCATTTCATTTAAATATAAGTTTTTAATTTATTTATTTAGCCGTTTATTAACAAGTCCTGTGCTTTATAATATATTAAAAAATGGAAGGACGTGAAGAAAACAAGTTTGTAAATGATGTTGTACATCATGCAGATAGCTCAGAAAAAGAAGTAAGTTTTTTTTTAAATTACAAAAGTAAATATATAATATAATATTTGTTGCTGCCTTGTTCTATATAAATGTTTCTAACATGCAGGTAACATTTATATATGTATTAGTTTGAATAAATCATTTTAATAAAGTTACATTTTAGGCAGGAATGTTTGACTGGAAATATAAACAATGTTGTACATAATGCAGATAGCTTAGGCAAAAAAGAGGTAACAATCTAATAATTTGTATTTATAAATAATGATATATTCATTGCTACTTTTTTCTATATAAATGTTACCTAACATTTGGCAACATTCATAATTGTGTATAATGCCTAATTATAAAGTAAGTTATAATAGATAATAATTATAAGTAAAATGAATTAGTAAATAAAGAAAACTAGTTAGAATGTATATAATAGTTGTATGATGTATTGTCTAGATTGGTGAAATGGAGAATGAGACTAACTAGGGTGAAAAAAAATGAATATTAATATGTGAATGGTACTTTGTTTAACATCTACCTGTTTCTACAGATACAGTACAGACGCATTTATAAATGGGCTTGATGTTTTTTTGAATTAAATATGTTGTATTGATGGTTCTTTTTAACTTGTTAAAACTTGAAGTTATTATCAAATTTATATATACTATTTTTATCAAATTGTTAATATTAAAATAATAAACATGTAAATTGTTTTATTTTCTGTAAAAATTGTTTTCTTGATAAATTTCAATTGTTTATCACTATGTATATCACTTATAGTATTATATTACTTGTAATTTTTTGTTTTATTTATTTTCAGTATGTTATACATATGCATGCATTAAATATTGTGAGGAAGTCAAGTTTTGATGTTTTAGGTGCATTATAGCTATTATTTTTCAAAGATTTGTAGGATTTAACAAGATTTAAATTTTATTTTGTTTATTGATTTTATTTGGAGAAAGCGATCTCATAGATTAAGAGAACTCAATAATAGTGGGATAAAATTTGCTTTTATGATTTAATATGACAATTCAAATAACATTAGATAAAAAAACTTGAAAACAAATCATGCTTTTTTACCATGAAAAATCCATAAGTTTTCCTTGGAAAAATGTTCCTAATACCTAATGGAAATTCCATGGTTTTTCCATGGATGGAAAATCATTGAATATCCATGGTATTTGGAACACTTTTCCATGAAAAACTTAAAGATTTTTCATGGGAAATTCATGTGTTTCCCATGAAAACTCATGGTTTTTCCATGGAAAACTCATGGTTTTTCCATGGAAAACTCATGGTTTTTCCATGGAAAACTCATGGTTTTTTCATGGGAACGTGTTCCAAATACCCATGGTTTTTCCATGTTTTTTTTTTTCTAAAATTCCCATGGGAAATTTTCGTACGGGAAAGCAACAAAGAAAAAATTAAAAAAAAAGTGTCAGTACAATAAATAACATGCGTATCATTTAACATACATACAAAACATATATTTTATATATATCAAATCAAATTATTAATATACTAAAATCATTTGGTCTTGATTTGAAAAAATGTAGGGGACAAGGTTATGATGGGGCAAGCAACATGAGTGGAATTTACTCTGGAGTACAAACAAGAATAAAAGAATTTGAAAAAAACGCAATATTTATTCATTGCGCGGCCCACAATTTAAATTTAGTGATAAATGATGCTATGAATGGGGTGCCAGATATTAGCAACTGCTTTTCTAGTATACAAGAAATATATACATTTTTTGGTATTAGCATAAATAGGTGGGACATATTATCAAAAATAACAGGAGAATCAGAAGTAACGTTAAAAAAATTAAATCCTACACGCTGGGCGTCTCGTTTATCATCTTGTATAGCCATAAAACAAAGATATGTAGACATAATGAAAGCTTTATCTAAAATTATTTTGGAAAGCAATAAAAAAGCAGAAATAGCACAAGCGACCGGTTTAAGAAAGAAAATGGATTGTTTAGATTTTCTTTGCATTTTGGTGTTAATTATTGAAATATTAGCACCATTAAGTATCGTTTCAAAATTATTACAATCTAAAATATGGATTTGGATAAAGTTTGTTCATTATTAGAAACTGGAATAAAAGAAATAAAATCACTGCGCAATAATTTTGATGATATTCTTGCAAAAGCAAAAGCTCTTGCTATAAAGTAGAATATAGTTCCAACTTTTAAACAATCACAAATAAAACGAACAAAAAAACTTTAATTTTAAATTTTCGTTTTGACTCGGCTGAACATCAATTTAAAGTTGATGTATTTAACACAGTTATAGATATTGTTACAAATCAGATAGGTTCTCGTTTTACTTCCCTGAAAACAGTAAATAGCTATTTTTCATTTTTAAATCCCAAAAATATAATATTATTAGATTCTGACAAAATATTTACACATGCAACAAATTTGCAAAATAAATATCCGATAGATATATCCGATGCCTTTCCAAATCAAATGGTTTTATTTAAAAAAACTTTAAAAAATGGAGCTTAAAGATGTCGACAGTATTTTGGATTTCCTCAAATTAATAACAATAACATATTGTGAAGGATCTGCATATTTTTGGAATTATGCACCAGACGAAATTGTTGAGATGATTTTGATGTATGCCGTGCAACAATCGGAGAACTCATTCCCTGGACACAAATGTGAGACCTATGCAAGTATCAAGTCAACGTGTAGTAAGTGGGCCCGTTTAATTGAAAGAAAAGGCACTACCTTACTTCCAAAGATATATATTGATTCGTGGAAACCTCTTGAAAAGCCCTCCGATCATAATAATGAAAGTAATACTGTAAGTACACAAATGTTAATAAAAACTTTTGGAAAATCTAGTGGACTAGCTAGCCAACTATCAAATTGCATAGGTGATAAAAAGTGGAGATCTTTTTGGCTTATCTTGACACCTCAGAAACACTCTTGGTATACCATAGATCGAATCTTCTGGAAAACAATGGTATGTCAGCCAAATCAATCATCTTTGAAAGTTTCGTCTTTATGGCTCAAGAATGAACTGTATGAGCTCACAGTGGCAGATAGGGAAATTTTGGAAAGTAAAGATAGCTGGTTGAACGACAATCTTATGGACGCAGGGCAAAAGTTAATTTGTAAGGCTTTTAGTAGCCATGAAACTTACCAATCAGTATTAAACTGCCAAAAAAAGTCCACATATTTCCTAGTTTCTAGCGACCACCTTCAAATATTGCACGACGGTAGTTTTCATTGGCTATTAGCATTTGCTTTAAATGGCAGGGTTCAAGTGTGCGATAGCCTGCGTACTAGCCTAACATCGATTTCGAAAAAATGTTTAAAATCCCTATTTCAACCACTTGTGAACAATGGAAAGCTTGAAGTAACATTTCTTCCCGTTGATAAGTAAATTGATAGTTTCAATTGTGGTGTCTTTGCTCTGAGTTATGCAAGTATATTGCTGGATGGATAATCCCCTCTTGATGTTCGATTTGTTGTGAATGAAATGCGCACTCACTATATAAAATGTTTGACAGACGCTCACTTGTATCCTTTTCCAACACTTGAAAAGGTCGTCGATGTTTTATGCAACAAACCTAAACTTTTTATGATTTGATTCAAAACTCAAAATTGACTTTTTACTTGTATATGATTTTATAAATTTGTTTATAACCATTACAAAGCATATCGGTAACCAATACTAGTTTCGTAATATTTAAACATTTTTCTATGTAGCGTCTATCATTCTATTAAAATTACTTTAGTATATTTCTTAGAGCTTTATTTTAAGTATTTACGAAAGAAAGTATTGCGTTATATACAAAATATGAAAAATACTTTAGCCGTCCATAGAGGACGCCATCCTTTTTTAGACAATTTCACGGGCGATGACTACCTATTTAAAAAATAATGAAAAAACTTATTTGATCTCATTCCATATTTTATGGACTTCTTTTTGACAATCGTCTTTTTTATTAGTTGGATGAAGGTTATTATTAGACCTTATTACATTAAAAAAACAATTTTTATCAATCTTGTGACATGCAGGGCCGACGACAAGGGAGGTTGGGAGGTAGGGCCAGGGTGCAAGTGCCCCTCCTCATATATTTTTTATTAATTAAAGTTTACAATTTTGAGGATTTTTTGTTTAAATAAAGTAGAATGCCCCCCCCCCCCCCCCACCACCACCACCACCACACACACACACTGCAAAAACCGTGTCGTCGGCCCTGATGGACATTGAAAGTATGACATTCAAATAAAAGTTGCAGCAGACAACACTGATATTTTACACTTTAGCAACATTTTTGAAAAATATATATATATATATATATATACTCTAACAATATATTCATAAAAGCACGTTTACATAGTTTTCCATGTTATTTAATATAAAAATAGAAAAAAAATCTTCAAGTGAAGTCCTTTTCTTGTAAACCCCCTCACTCTCACTTTGTCTCATTTTATTTTTCTTATTCCAACCCCCTCCCTCCTTTTTTGCAATATGTTCTTTATGGTTGACCCCTTGAGCAATTCATTTATCTTTTTTTAAAGAATAAAAAAATGTAAAAATTCATTTCATTAAACTTATTCATTTCTAATAATTTCTATATTCTAAATATTTTATATTTCTACTAGTTATCAAAAGTTTAGTTATTTCTCTATCATCAATTGAAAATAAAATCAATAAAAAAATAAAATCAATAAAAAAAATTTGATTTCATCAAATAAAATATTATTGGAGTCTTAATTTACCATTATTTTACTTTCATCAATAATTTATTTGTGTCCATAGTTATACTTTTAATTCTCTTTCATTAAATCTACGTTTACTTTTTATTTCATAAAACTAATTAAACCATTGAACTGTAAATTGTTGACTGATGATATGGGATCTCGTAAGATGTCTTCTGTAAAAATGTTATCCTTCAAATAGACTTTTTATGTGGACTATTTTTACTTGACCACCTTAGTTAAAAAAATAAAACTTCCATCTATATCATTTTTTTTAATACCTTGGTGATAATTTAATGCATTTATAGTCTCTTCACAAAATACTTTTAACATGTATCAACCTTTTGTCTAACAATCAGTCTTAAGTTAGCAGCAACATAAGTCAGCTTAGACATTTTAACCAGATGACTAACTAAATTTCAGCAGACTTTTCAATTATCTAATTGTTTCGTATACACTTTAAAATTAAAAAGTAAAAAAATTCCATAAGTTGATAACCATAGAGATAAGCAATCAAATCGTTTTAAAAAAATGCTTGATTTACTCTATTATAATCATTAGTTAAAGCGATAACTTTTCCATTTGTCTTCTTAATTTGGTTGATTAGGATATTAATTTGATTGTATACAAAGTCAAAATTATTTACTGGTAACATTCTTACTATAAATTTTGTTCCCTCATAAAAACATACAACCATGAAAGCCAATATAGTTGTTGCAAAACTTATAATTGTTGAAGAAACTGTGGTCAAAATTATGTTTTTCTTCACTTAAATTGTCATAACTTTATTAATTCTTATCGAAATACAAATACCTTGGTGTCTAACCACTCTAACCACCGGGTGTATCGGATGGACAGAGGGGGTACCAAACCACCACCTTATTCGT